GTCATTTTACAACAGGGTTGTAAAAAAAAAATCTGTTTACAAGGGGAGAATTTTAACAAATGAAAAGGGGTTTACTCTGCCCTGAATAGCAACAAGGCTAGTACATGTGTGACACATTGAAGATCTCTGCAGGGACAAAGGGTGATCGACAGCGCTACTGTGTGTGTGTGTGTGTGTTTGTTAGAGTGTGTAGTGGAAGGATCTATTGAAAGCCTGCTATTCTTTTCACTGTGCAGTGAGATATGTGGTGTGACTGTGTTTGCCTATTCGTGTATGGGGGGCTGAGGGTTTAGGGGTGTGGACTGATCGAAATCCCCCTACTGACACGTCCTAGTATCGATCTGTCTGTATCTGTGGCCAACACATGGCCCCACCCACACACACTCACATGCACAAGACCAATCTGCAGGGTGTAGGAATAATCTTTCAGATACCATGTTGAGCACCAGGGCATAGTATTCTGTCTGGGCAGGATTTATCCTGTTAATATAATTTATTGATGAGATCTGGAGATTAAGAATGCAACACGGAGCAGGCAAAGTAACGTGAGCAGACAAATGCAAAATAAAGACAACAAATAAGCACCACGCTAATAAAGGCATTAAGATGAAGAAGACATTATCGAAGGCAGTGACATTGATATAGGAGCACTTGACATGCATTCTAAATCACACAAAAATATAATTTATATCAGAAGTTTATTCTTTTGTGAACCATTATTCAAAGCATCCTATTAATGTTACAAATTTTAGGCTCCTAAAGATTGTCTGTGGGTCATATGCTCACAATGAAAATAAGTAAGTGAGTAAGTGGGACTATATAACTGGGATCTAATAAGACTTACAGTATAGGAACAGCTGAATACAATGTCCATGTGGTGCTGTTAGAGGGGATACTAACCTTTGTTTTCCACAAACGCAAAAATGGACGTCCTTGTGGAGCAGCTGTTAATGGCTCAACAATGTAGTCCTGGGTCCTGAATCCTTCTTGGGACACTACTGTTTTTTGGTTTCCTGTCTCTCCACTGTACTGTCCAAATGCAAAAGTAACACTGATGAACTTATTGTGATTGTATTGTGTACCTGCTTTGTAACTGCAACTCATGAGGGAGCACTTTAGCTGCTAAATGCTCAAATGCCATATGTTTACCTGCTAACTCCACCATGCCTCAAAAAACACCTGCCTTACCATATCACAACTGTTATCTACAATATCCAGAGAACGTCAAGACATTTGGAAAGAAGAAGTAGTAAATTTGGAATTATTTTAGGATTTCCAGGAGGTTTAGATTACCTGTCCTCTCAAATAAATTAACAGTTTTATCAGTCTCAGTTGAGGGCTTATCCTGCGTTCCAGTCACAGTTGGAGGTTGGAAATTTCCCAGTGACTTCAGACCTCAATGCCAAATGTAAACAAAAACATGGCCGATAGTGGCAAACTGATGTTTCTTTGTCAAGTGTACACACAAGTGAACCCTCTGCGGTGACCGTGCTGTTTAAAAAGATGGCCATTTTAATCAAAACAGTCAAGTGACATAAATATATGTTCTTTCTTAAGTGTGTTCCCATGTAGCTACATTGGTTGGTAATGTGCCAAAGTCAGTACATATTGTTTTTATTTTTATTTTTAATATTTTCCTGGATAACCTTTGTGCAGAGAAGATAACTTTCAGAGATTGTTTACCGTAACCAGCTACACTGGTGACATATGTTGACGTCAATTTACTCGCAGAACAGGATTTACAGGTTTTTAGGATAGTATATATTATTTTTATTAAATACAGGCAAATATACTTTATGTTGCCTTTTTCAGTAGCTTAGTTAATGGTTTATCATTTACAATATGCTCTTCTATGGGTGCTGCTAGTGTTGTGTGATGTCACACATCTGTCTTTTCATGAATGTCATGAATCATGAATTCATGATGTTATTGTAGATGGATTTACCCCGAGATCACAGGTACGATTTCCGACTCTGAATGGCCTTCCACTGTACTTTTTCTAGTTGTAGGTTCAGCATACTTTCACTGTTGTTGGTGACATGTCTTCAGAGAAGTGAGCGCTATGAAGATCACATAGCCAATGATGTTAATCATAATAATCATGACTGCCATAAAAAGCTACTGCCACATTTGCTGTCCCGCAGCACAGGAAATATGCTTCTGCATTGCGGTGTCCGTTTCTACGTGATAAATGTCATGTCAAGTCCAAGGAAAATCAGTTTGTAAAGTTGGTATATTACAATCTCTAAGGTCTTCTCCAACCGAATGTGTGTGTCTTGTTGTCTCCTATTCTTGTTCTCAGGTGAAGGCTGGCTGCACCCATGAACTCCCAGAGAGCCTGTATGGCTCAATACAAACACAAATACGGGAGTATATTACATCAACATTAGGCCAAATGACTGCACTGGAATTACAGTTAGAGAATGAGTGTTTGTGGATATTATTGTGTATGTGGGCCCCTGTTGTCTTATGCCTGATGTGCCTCCTCTCATTCTCACCTCTGAACGCCTTCTGGTAACACATTTGATCTGAGGTTGCTTGGGAGGATTTAGAAACATGATGGATGATGCATATGGAAAATCTGAGTATCTGATCTTCAACATAATTAAACTGTTATTTCAGCAGCAGGGGTGATGAGACTGTAAAGGATGTGTCCATGTAATGAAGTTATTTTATGGATAGTATATACTCTATGTGTACCCTATGTGTTTCCATCCTGCATGTGTTACAAGAGCAACTTATAATGCTCTCCTCTCCCCCACTTTGCCCTTAATTTTCCATCTTTCTTACTTTTTTTTTTTTTAAAGCAGAACATGTTCTACCACCCATATTGATTTGTTTGCCAGGGCCTGGATGCACCTGGCCACACAACAGGGGAGCATTCACATCCTAGCATGTTCGCTGTGGTTCATAACAGTTCATAATGGAGGAGGCACAACACAGAACACTGCTGAGGATAGGATTTTACCATATGGGGTGAGGAGGGGGAATGAGCAACCATATGGATCGACTGGGCAAGGTTTGAACACAAGCGTGTGTATCCCTGCGAGAGAAAAATTAAACCAAGTGGGAACCCTGTTTTTAGCAGGTGGGTTAAGATTGGGTGTAAGGGTTGGCTAAAGAAAGTCAGATCAAGCTGTCCCTACAAATAATGTACAAAATAATATAAAAATAAGTGTATATATGTCATAGAGCAATAGCTTTTAAATTTTAAATTGAACGGGCATGGACAAAGAACGTGTTTTGTCATTTAGTTTGCAGGACAAATGAAGTTCAAATTGATGGTGACAAAGATTAATCCAAATAATTAAAGTTGATTCTTTATGCTGATATAAACCCAGCTAACAGTCCATTAATCTTCTATTATTATGTTAATGAAAAGTCACTGTCATTAATACTATATACATGTTGTTTGTGGAATTATCTTAAAGTCAAAGAAACATGAAGTTATAAAAAAGAAATGTGTTTGCTTCTTAATTCAAACATTCCAAAAATCATATCCTAAATGATTATTCAAGTGTTCATCTAACTTTGAAACTTTCACTAAAGAAAGAAAGAAGAAAAAAATGCATGCATGCACAATGTTCCTCCTCCCCCGGGGTTCATTAGAAGCAATGGAATTCAGTGACCCAGAAACTAAACCTAGCCCAAATCAATTAGCAGACATACACATGCATACGTTTGAGCTGCTAATTACAAAGCCAAACTCCACCTCATGGGGAGGGGATTCCTCTTTGAAGATGAGTCAAACTGTGAAAAGCCAAAATGTTTTGTAAATACAGTATTTTTGTGGGTTTCAACATTATGATGCTGAGCTACTGAGCTACTAGCCAGTGGGAGATTTTTAAGGGCATTGATTAGGTTTCAAGTTTTCGTAAGATGCCAATTTACAGTCTGCTGTAATGTGGATCCGTCAATGCATGCATGTCGAATATAGAGTTTACAAAGGTAAAACATCTACTACATTTACTATTAATAATATTTATAATAATATTATATAATATTTCTGCCAGACTGACGTCTTTTTATGTATTTTGTATTTTATTTTCTATGAATAATATGTTTTGCCTTTTTATAAGTGACATACAATAAGGAAAAAACAAAACAAATACACAAAAACATTTAATAAACAAAAAGCATTAAATAAACTAAAATGATGGCTCTCTTCTAGTGTGCCAGTAAACCATGACGGTGTGACAGAGAGCCAGCATGCACAATACAAGGATCCTGAACCTGAAGCAGCTAAATGGAACTCAGCCATCATTCATTTTATTATTTACACCTGTGATTTTCCTACTGTGACATGTCCAAATGTTCTCTGTGAAAAAGGTCTATAGTGCCATCATTAGTCAAAAGTAGTACTTTTACTTTCTACATTTGAGCAGGCTAAAAATGAGTGCTGAGTGTTATTTGAAAGGGGTCTCTGGTAGTGACAAACCCACAGAGAAAATTTGCACCCAACTATGTTGCTCTCCTCAGTTCTACAGAGCATTTTAGCATATTTTAACGCGTTGTTTTGGAGACCTCAACGGAGCCAAAAATGAGAGTGAATTTTACATTTATCAGGTGAGTGAGTGCTAATGTTGCTGTGTGTCTGCCACATGTGTAAATTGGTAATTGTATGCTAACACAGTCATACAACTGTATATGGTAATAATGCATTCATGTTGTTGTTGTTATTATTCCAAGTGGCCCAAAAAAAAAAAAAAAAAAAAAATGAATGAATGCAGCTTTAATCATTTTGAGTGCAGGACTGTTACTTTTAATACGTAAAATGTTTTCCCAAAAGATGAATTCAGATCTCTCTGGTATTACTAGTGTCCCTTCTCACCCGTGCTTTTGTTTTCCCTGCACACCATATCTTGCTGTTGAAGCAGTCGCTGTAAGTGAGAATGTGGTCCCATTAATATGAGTTGAGCATTATCTTTCCTCTCTTCAACTCTGGCAACAATTTGAATGCTTCCCCTTTAAGAAAGTGACAGTAACAGGCTGCGGAGGAGCTGGTCAGGAACTGGCCAGGAGCGGACGGCAGTGAAGGAATCTCAAAACTTTTCCAACACACAGTGCCGTCTGTGGTCAGTTAACAGTTTCACTTCGCCTTTGTCTTTGTAGTGTGAAAATTAACGGACACGTTGCCTTACTGTGCGTGTCGGTGATTAAGTGGATGCTCCTGGCCGCCGGGAAGAAGGAAACTTGCGAGAGGAAAAAGTTATGGAGTGATGCCCGAGCGACTGCATCCCTCCCTCAAAAGTTCAGCTAAGGTTGCTAATGTTAGCCGGCGTAGCGACTCCGCTCGCTAACTCTGATGGGAAAGTTTGGGTAAACTTTTTGTTCATCTGTCAAAACAAGAAGTAACAAATCATCCGATGTAGTAAAGAGGGGCTCGAGGATATGTAATGCGTGTGGGACACAGCTTTCATCCTTGGCTTGTTGTCTCGTGCCGGGCCAGGTTACAGTATCAAGCTAATCATCTTTAGCCAAGTGGAGCTAGCTGAGAGGCGGCTAGCCTCTGTCAAGGGAAGTTAACAAGAGTTAGCGTCAGTTTGCTCCCAGAAAGAAATGGCATGACACACAGTTCTCGTTTGCCAGCGAACACTCATCTCCATCATGGAAAGACCGCAGTGTTTTTAACGTTTTTACATGGAGCAGCTGAGTAGCGTCAACACTTGTTAAGATGTTACCTGTTGTGAAGGTGTGAGAAAGGGAGCGATAACCCTGATGAACATAGTATGAGAGAGTCGGATTAACTTTACTTATCATCACCGTGAGTTGTGGTCGTTAGGAATGGCACGGACAGACCTTAAAGACATTTGACAGTCTTATAAGGAGCTACGAAGGAGCACTGTGACTTTTGAAGAAGTTGCTTTGGGACATTCTGCGGTTACAGTTCTGTGTTATCATCACCACTGTTCATCACCCACATCCCGAGAAGGCCTGCGTCTTGTGAATGAAGTGGAGAGTGCTACAATGAAGGTGACTGTGACATTTGGGCAGACAGGTGTGGTGGTGCCCTGCAAAGAGGGGTGGACTGTGAGAGACCTCATCCAGCAAGCCACGCAGAGATACAGAAAACTCCTGGAACAGGTACCGTCCCTAAGTTTTGAAGTGCACCTCCCTTTTTCAAGTAGCACTCACAATTAGCCTCAAGGGAGAATATGCAATGTTGTGACACTGTATGAACTGTATGTTTTGGCGTAGCTGCTCCAAATCCAGGCAACTGTGTTTTATTGTTTATTATTTTGAGCAATCAATTATTTGCTGAGTGCAGTACAGTAGTGGATAGTTTTAGATGTCACACAGCCCTAAAATGCAGACCAGCATGCCGACGTTTGCAGATTGTTGTTTTCCCAAAGATGTTGGTTTTTGCAAAACAAATAAGAACATTTTCAGAAGAGATGGCACGTGTACCCACCTACGACCAGGTGGTACCAGGTACTGGGTTTTTGGTACCATGCAATACCGTAAAACTTAAATTAAGAGCATGGCCTTTAATTTGTTGTTTCAAACAGTGAACTCTATATGAAATGCGGCTTATGGGACAGAGATTTTACTATCTTTGCGCAAAACTCTTGCTCAGCAAAGAGAAGAATTAGGCTACTGTCAAATTGTTTATTTCAACCAGTCTTAATATTACTTGTATAAAAGTTTTTTTGTTTTTTTTTCAAGTCTGAATTGTTTCCCTAAGATGAATTGAATGATTGAATTGTGGCGAATCTAACTGCTCTTACAAAGTGTAAATATTCATATTTGTATGTCCGATCTAAGCCGCTTACCAGGATGGATACCGAAAGAAGATGGTAAAATGCAGGAGAACCGGGTAAAAATCGGGAGGGGTGACTGGTATGCACTAGGGCTGAACGATTAATCGTTTTCAAATTGACATTGCAATTTGAAAGAACGTGATTACCTAATTGTGAAGACGGCGATTAAAATATAGGTTAATTTTAAACAGTCCTGCAGTTAGAAATTCATTCCGTTGTCATCCTTGTGTGACAGATCTGCTCACCAATCTCAAGCACCATGCACCTCCTGTTACGGTCCTACTCACCAATCGGAGCGGGCACAGGGCGTGTACATTTTCTAAAATCAAACAAAACTAAGAGGATAACGTGTTGGATAATGGGGTCAGGCGAACCAACACAGGCGGCAGCTGTGCCATGGTTTTTTCCAGCGTCAACTCACACGGAAGTGTTTCGGCAGTGGAGCGTTTAGCCTACACGTTGTTAACATGTTGTTAATTTGTAATTTTGTGTGCTTCAACTTTGGATAACGGCTCTCTGTGAGCCCGTTCCGCTCCCGGCAGGCTAAAGTTACATATCCACATGGAGCATTGTAGAATAAGAGCGTTTTACCTGTCTGATTTTGCTGACTTGTTCAGTTGTCCTTGATTTTTGTGCTTCTGCCATGTTTAAGGACACCACATAGTTAAACTGTTTCTTTTGTCTGTTTTAACTGTGTTTATTGTTGATGTATGATCAGGAGCCTGCAAAGGGTGTTTTATTTTGGAAATAGACCAGATTCTCTATACCACTCTGTGTCTGACTTCATGCCTGGTTCATCTGCTCTGTGCTGCATGACATAGCTTCTGTTAAAAATAGACTGGCAGTGAATACTGAACTTTAGCAGAACTTCAATAAATAAAAAATCGCAAATCGAATTTTAATTGCAATATCTGGCAGAAAAATCGCAATTAGATTTTTTCCCCTAAATCGTTCAGCCCTAGTGTGCACCAGGCCAGTAAAAGGGTGTAATTGGGACTAGACTTTTAATTGAAGTTTTACAGTACTTGTTATGAATGTTTAAATTCCAGTTTTTGATGCGTGCCATTAAAAAAGTACTATGACTGGAAAGTAACTCTCTACTGACACTATGGCAGGTACATTTTAAAATGTTTTCACCTTGTAGGGCCGTTATGATGGAAGCTTTTTTATGTAAATGCTGCTCATTTGTTTGAGTGGCCATAGTGCCACAGTGCCACTGTGCAACAGTGCAGTCATTGTAGCTGTATAATAACGTTTCATTTGCATTGATACCATACCACCATAGTCCATTTTGCCCAAGAACATGAAAGAAAGCATGAACAAGTGTAATTTTAACTCTTTTTGAGGCTGTTTGACCTTTGAGCCATCAGTTGCATTATTCATTCTCAGTAGTAGTTTTGTAATAAGGGTTCAGGATTTTTATGAGCTGACAGACTTAGAGAAGAGGCGAGATAACTTTTTATGAAACAGCACTTTCATAACATTTGTGGTTTTCCCTGAAGTCATAAAAGAATAATCGAAAGCTCTGTCATTTTTACGTCATGAAAGGGCCATATGATTTTCACAGCCTTGGGAAAGTCTTGGGAAATTAGATAGAGTCATGGAGGTCCAGTTCTCCATAATTGCTGCATAAAAAATTAAAAGCATATCTGATATGAATTGTGATGGTCCAGACAGAAGCAGGCCCGAGTCGTTCCCACTTTAGTTGTAAGCGAAACATGCAAATCATTCCTTCTTGTGATTCCTTTATGACTGCTGTTGATTCCCTGCACTGCTCACAGGGCATGAACCCTTTGACCCCCATCAGACGACCAAATCTTCTCAGTGACTCGCTTCATATTGGCTCCATTATTCAAAGAGCACAGCAGTCATATAGATAGATGGCCTCAGTTGTGATTGAGGGGGAGCTGTTGAAGCCGTGTGTTTGTGTTTATGTGAGACACACACTGAGACAGCACTTGCAGATGCGCTCATTTTTTTCCCACCCTCCTCTTTTTTTCTTTCTCCCTCTACCTTTTTTGCACCCCCTTCATCTTATTTATCATCCTTTCCCTTCTCACAAGTGCATCACCTCTTTACCCTCCACATGGCTCTCCACATAGTGGGAACCCTTGCATACCTTCCATTTGAACTCTTCTTCCTCTTTGAAGACTTCCTCCTTCACCTCCTGTTCATTATGAGGTTACTCTGCCTAGAAGTAGAGGTGAATAGTTACGTTTATAATTTTTAACTCTCTAAACTAACTGGACGGGCAACTGGGTATAATCAGCAGCAATGTTTAAGTGTTTAAATTTCAATTATTCTCACTTTTTGTGTAAGGAGATATAAACAGTAATGAGGGTACAAAACCGGTTTTGAACATTTGTGGGAACAGTGTTTAAGCTTTGAGTTTCTGTGCAGGTGTTTCCATTGGCAGCTGTTGACTGACCTATGACGACCTGCTTTTTCACATTTTGGTATGTCGTGGCAGGAAAAGCACAAGTGTAGTTGATAACACTAAAAACGAATGCATTCCATTGAGGTGAGCTAGTTCCAGGGTCCGGTTATTGTGCATTTTGGTTCACTGACATGGCTGACTGGGACACCAGATGCAACTGAGCCATCATTAATGCCGTTTGTTTCACCTGTGCTTTTTGTGATATGAGAAGTCAAAGTGTCAGCTGTGAAAAAGGTTTGCCTAGCGGTAACTGTGTTGCTTTTTTGGGTCCAGTTGTGGTGACAGCAATTGATCAGGCTGTAACCACATTACTCAGTACGTTACCTTGTGATTTATGTCAGGACATGGAGTACCGACAGGTTCCAAAAAAAACTTTTTGGCTCATCTGCCAGTGGCGGGTAAACTGAAATTTTACCAGCCATAAAGTTTTTTTTTTACTGGCCATAAAACTGCATCCAGTATTATATGACTAAAAATAATTACCTTAAGTTTTTAGTATGCAAACTCATCATTATCTTTAAAGTGAAGTTCATAATTAGATAACATCAGATTTACAACCACTATTAAAAACTTTTTCAGTAAAAAAACACTATCAATCAAAGTCATTGTTGCACTTTATCTCAAACTGTTCCTGCACCTCATCAACATGTCCTTGGCTGTGTCCAAAAACACCACTCATTCCCTACTCCCTACTCCCTATCTAGTGAGTTGTATGTAGAGGACTATATAGTGAGCTCACCCGCAAAATGAAAGCAACACTTTTGGACACTTTCGGTCATTGCTGCTGGACAATCAGTTGGTGGACTGTTTTTTTTTTCTATCAGCGCAATGCATGATGATATATTGATACATTCAGTGCCTGTATGATATGGGGAATAAATGTCATATGTTCAGTGTAGTAGGACCAGCTGTATGGAGCTGGTAGTCAGAGTGAACCAGCCTTGAGCAATTGCTGTCAGACTCCGTGTCTGCGCTGGAAAACTCCAGCTTCCAACCTCCAAACTTCATGCCTTTGACCATCAATAGAGACACATATTCAGGGCCCTTTGTAATTCCTGTTTCACACACAATAAAAATGTAAAACTTGCTTTGCGTTTATCTTGTGAGTTTGACTGCTGGACTGTTTGAGTCAACAACTCTATAACACGAAAAAACACAACCCGCCATTACTACACCCGCCATTACTACAGCTGTTTGAACCCAAAACAAACATTTTTCTGTGATTTAGTTGCAATTAATGGATCAAACTGATGAGACTTTATTGTCCGCTGTAGTGGAAAATCTGTCTTTGACTTCTCCAAAAACAGAAATACAACCATGACACCACAGTTGTCATACATCAAGAATTCAGTTAAGAATACAACACAATACCACCATTAAACATACAACAACAATAGTGCCATGAGCTGAAAACACCAGCAGCAGGTGGAAATGAGGTATAACCTACAAGAAAACACAATAAAAATGCAATCATTTTGCATTCAGTGCCTGTATGACATGGGGAATAAATGTCATATGTTCCGACATGATGATGTTATGCTTTGTCAGGTCTGTCAGCAAGATGACAAGCAAACAACTTTTAAAATGTAATATAGCTAACCTCTGAGTCACGATTAGAAATTCAAGCTGCTTTGATTTGCTGCCTTCACTATAGGTACAGTGGGGAGTGAGGGTCACAGTAGTCTCAGCTGGTAAACCTGGTCCTGGCCGGTGAGCACAGTTTATCTTTCCCGCATTAGGCGGTTGTAAATTTTTGACCATGAGTACAGGGACGCAGAGTCGCGTGGGGATTGCTCGAATAACTAAGCATCGCTTAACTTTAAGTGATATTACAGCAGACATTATACCAACCCAGCAGGAATTTTGAGGGTTTCATTGCTAGCTAC